AACGCTCAATGAGAAACAAAAAACTGAGAGCTTTACAGCTCCACAAACCCTTTGCTATGTATTGTATTTGTTTTATTTTATTTTATAATTTTCTTAAAATTAATTATGTATGTAAATATTTTTTATAAGAACAAATTGAGTATAATAGCAAGAACAACGGCACTAGATATACCAAAGATCATGATGACTATGAAATGATAAAATGTTGATGAAGATAAATGTTGAAAATCTACAACAAAACAAAATGAAATATACGGTTATATGTGCGAGGAAATCAAGAAAGAGAAAAAACACTGCATTCAAAATCCCATGAAAAGAAATAAATAAAAACTACAAAAATTATTTAAAAATATACATATAATATATATACCTACAATTTTATTGAAATCTACAAACACAGAAAACAAAAACGTTTTTTTATTTAACTCACTCGCATGGTATGTGTGTGTGTGTGTGTTTAGCTAAGGTATAAAAAAATATAGAAGAGGGATTTTTTTTTTATTAATTTATAGCATTTTCATAAATCACGCAGACATTTCCATTAAGCAAATGCTCGCTACTCGCTGTACGCTGTCGCTGTACATCCCCCACACCGCGTAAAAGCGTAAAAGTAGACAGCAAGACTTCACCTAAACGATTTCGGTCCATTAGTGAGATAAAAATAGCGTCAACACCACAAATCAAAATGCAGATCTCCTGCCGCCATACTGAGCAGTCTTCGAGCAATTCTCTGCACTTGAATCTCTGGCGCATAATTTTAGACACCTGCACTGGCAGCAGACTGCAAGTGCAACAGCGAAGCAAGTTTCTTCCATATAAAGCTCGTTTTAGCTCCCTCACAGTGGACCATATACATATGTATGTATGTATGTATTGTATGCATGTACTCATGCAGGGTGATTCACCCTTCGGTGGGTTTTGCTTTTGTTTTTGTTGATCTTCCTATTCTTAGTCGTTTCTTCACCCACGGCGTGCGCCGGATATCTTACGCTGTTTGTTTCCTCATACAACTATTGCATACATACTCGTAGTTATGTATAATATGTATATTTGTACATATTGAAAAATTCATGACGTTTCTAAAAATATACCATCGATATGTTCGCATGCTGGCACCAACTACTACGTCTGTATCATAGAGGAATTATAGCTTATTTTTGAGTTGAGTTGTTTGGTTTTTGAAGCATTCGCGCATTTCAAAAATTCATTTTCCATTTCTGGTATGCATGTTGAGTGCATAGGGAGATGCATTTGTGTGCACGAATAAGAGTATACATATATGTATGTTCATATATCATCATATGTATGTATGTTGCTGCATCAAAGTTCGTTTCGAAATAGAAATGATTTATTGTGTTTGTTTATTTGATTTTAGAAATGCACTGATAGTGATTTTTGAAAAACTTTTTAATGGATTTAAATGGAAATCACACATATGTATGAACACATACATATACTTGTGGATGAAAGTAAATATTTTTCAAGTGAAAATGATTTCGAGTAAATTAAAAATCCATTATTATAAGAATTTACATTATGACTCGGAAGGCATTTAAATCTCTTTCAATATTTTTTTTTTTCAAATTAAAGTGTTAAGGGACTGTCTTTGACCGTCTCAGCAGCCTGATTGAGGTCATAATACATTTTTCCAAGATTTGACGCTCGGAATTCATGTGGGAAACACAGGCTGTTGAATAGCAATTGAAGTACAAAACTCGAATCCTCAATCGAATAAAATGGAAAAGAAGTTCCAATACCCGACAATGATGAAATTCGAATAGCGATTGACCGCTTCCTCTATAAAATGTTCAAAATATTATAATAATTAATACCTATAATTTTCCTTGAAATACTTTTAGAAACGGTATAGATTAAGTCCCGAAGGTCCGCAATACCAAGAAGTAAATATAGAAGATGGAAGAGCGGAGCGCACTAAGCGGTAAATCCGGCCGCTCTAGTACTTTAATCGCCTTTTCTCGAAACCACGTTTCTTCTACTGTGTAGCACTCTTATTTAGAACCTATTGTTCTTCAGCTAAAACGGCATTTTACTCCTTCTTTTGGAAGAACCAATCCTTAAAGAATAGCAAATCAGCGAGGGACGATGGCTTATTGGCTGAACTATCTAAGCACGGTAGCGAAGAACTTACAGGAGTAGGATTGGGACCTAAGTTTGCACTGCTCAATCTATAAAAAAGGGGAATCTCACAATACATATGTGCCAATGACTGTCTGATAAGTGTTCTCAATATGGCATATAAGATCTTGTCTAGCATATTATGCGGAAGATTGAACCTTATCAGCGTGGCTTGTAACCTTTTAACCGCTGAATCGTGTTTCGGCCGAACTTATCCAAATTTGTGGTGTACGTTTTGATGTTTTTCCAACAAAAGGGGGAACCTACAGTTTACACTTATCCGACTCCGAACGGCTTATAGTTTTTTATGAGGAGCTTTATTTCATGTCAGAAATAACTCCGAGGGATTGAGGTACCCAGCATGGCTTTAGACTTGATAAATCCACGATTTATCAGGTTTTCACCATGCGAAAAGTCGAGGAAAAAATCCTAGAGAAAAGATAGACACACCCCTCTGAGATTTGAAGTAGAAATATCAACACGAATACCGCAAATTGGATGAGAAACTTGTCTGAAAATCGCTCAATTATTATACACTCCCATCTTATACTCAAATAATGTCTTTAATAGGAAGGGGGGATGTAGGAATATGTCGCTCAACTCTCTGCCAATGCTGTTCATATGTATATCGCAGATTTCATAGATTGTCTGACGAAGTGAGACAGAACTCATTTTCGCAAAAGTTCTTTGTTAGAATTTAGATTTATTTTTCTCTGCACCAATAGCTGGTATACGCCAAGGTTCTACCAATTTTTCATGGGTTGTTTATTTTTTCATTACCGTTCCCAACTAAAAAGTTATAGATTATAAACTCTCGCCCATTTTTTCAAAAGAGTCGCCATGCATTTAATTGGAAAAAGGGTTGGATTCTTTCTATCTACCACTACACATCAAGAATAGCCCCTTCTGATAGTTGAAGACTAAACCCTTCAACTGATGATAGTCTTACCGCGCTCACCTTTTAAACGACGAAAAAACGCGACCAACAGTTGCGATAAACCAATTTCTGATACTGAATTCCCTTTCCCATAATGTAAATGTCGAAACCCATCAAATGGAGGAAAAACTGATCGGATTACTGGTATTCTTCCGACTGGTATAAAATGGCAGCGATCGTAATCTGTTTACGAAAATTAGATTTTAAGTTCGAGTGGGTTTCAGAAAATTTAGAAAACTGTTTCAGTCGCGTATTTGGGTGATTACTAACGGATGACGATTCATGGAAACTAAAATGAGAGCGAGTTCAATAAGCGCACTGTCTGATTCTCTATCCTGAAGTTGTCTGAAGATGACTCGCAATAACTGCTGGAGTAGCTCATTTATTGCGTCTTTACGTTTTCACCTTTAATTCTCACCCTTTTTAGCACTCCTAATAAAACGAGGTTTGTTATATTTTCACGTTTATATATTTGTATATTTTATTAAAAAATATGTTTATATATATATGCATATGTATATTTTAACATAAAAACCTAAACTATATATGTATGTATATATGTATATATCATCAATCAAATATGCACTAAACTAATTATAAGTACACAGTTAAATATTGTATAAATACATAAGTATGTATGTAAGTATAGGTATTTTTGTTTTAAATTTAGTCATTAGAATTTGTATACAAGTATTTATAAATATTTATGTATATATATAGAGTATAAATTGGGTAAAAGACATACAACAAGATGACAGATCTGATGAAAATATTATATAATATTATATATTTATATGTAAGTACTGCATTTATTAATGCTAATTGCGACAATGGAAATAAGATGTTGCTACATACGTTTATCAAATAATACTCATTGTATACTTAAATACATCTACGAGGTGTGACAATTAGGTAATGTGATTGATTATATTATCCCTTTCCCTTCTCCCGTCATCCATCTCCTCACCATTGATATATTTGCCATCGCTCTAGCTTGTTTAGTTCGCCCGCTGGGTCGTGTTGAGTAAACGTGTGTTCGTGGTGCTCGTCATGAAAATGGATAGACGAAATCCAGAGCAACGCGTCGCTATAAAATTTTGTGTCAAATCGGGCGAAACAGCTTCGGAAACGTACCCTAAAATTGTAAAAGTGCATGGCGATAGTGCTCTTAGTCGCTCACAATGCTTGTCTCCGCACGCCCTTCGTCCTAAAAAAGCTCGCATGAACAAGTCGAAGGTGAAAACGATGATTACTGCCTTTTTTTGTTAGCCATGGAATCGTCCACAAAGAATTCCTACCATCGAGGCAAACCGTAAATCAATTCTACTATCGCCGAGTACTCGAAAGTTGCAACAACCGCCTTATTAACCCGATTTGTTTATCCTGTGACTTTTTTCTCTTACCTAGAACAAAATCGGTGGTCAAAGGAATCCATTTTAAGTCGATTGCGGACATCCAGGCGGCCGTGTTAAGGGTGCTAGCGGACATCCCAGTCGATGCGTTCCAGAAATGCTGCAAAGCAAGGAAAATTCGCTGGAATCGTTATACAGCTCCCCGAGAAGACTACTTTGAAGGGGATGGATTTGAAATATACGGCTTTTATGGAATCAGTCTCATTACTTATTTGTCACACCTTGTATACCTCTTGGTAGTATAAGTATAGTTTTCGGAAAGCATTTGAGTGAGGTTTGTGGTGTAGAAAGACGTGTATAATATGAAAAAAAAAGAGCTCGTTACAAAAACAAAACCTGCCATAGTTTTATTTAAAAGTATTTTCCGGCACTATGTAGGTGGGTAAGGAATGTAAAAAATTTGAAAGGTTTTATAAATAAATTGCTTTCCTTAGCACCATAAGCTCTATTTTTTGTGAAATTTTTATATAAAAATATTTAGGTATATATAATACTTTGTTATTCTATTTTTGAAATTTTTTTTTCTTTTTTTTTTTGTATATGTCCAACTTGTATTAATACCCATTAATCGATGGAATTAAATTTCCAATTTTATTTGGCCCATTGGCAAAAGATAGCTCCAACTGAAAGTTGTGGGCGATCTTGAAAGCGATCAACTATTTTATTGGAAAGGTTTCTCATCTGTCAATAATTAGTGTGCACCAGCGTCTATTTCTGGCAACAGCATTGTATGTTGCCTCTTGGAAAATATCCGGATTGGCGGAAAGTTTTGATTTTCTATTTTAATTGGAAGAAAAGTGCAGCTGAAGCCCCCATCGAGGGGGAGTTTGAGGGAGTTTATGGTAAATCTGTGCTGACAAATAAGTCATGCAGAGAGTAGTAGTTTAAACACTTCAAATGTGTTGATTTTACTGGCTAATCCACAGAGTTTAAACATTGGTATTGCTGTTAAAACCAGACGAAACCATTGATGCGAAACATTATCGCGTACAACCAATGTGTTTGAGCTGTGCATTGCTAAAAAAAAAACGGCAAAACGATTTGGGGGCCAACAGTTCCGCGTCTTTTGAAGAATTCGAAAATGGCTCAATGATCGTATTATAGTATTCGGCAGGGTATGTTAAGCCCTGCGAGTGTATTTCTGAAATGAAATAAGGCCTCCTTATGAAAAACCATCAGCCGTACGGAGGCGGCTTAGTATAAATTGTAGGTCCCTCCATTTGTTGGAAAAAACATCCAGACGCAAAACCACAAATTGGTGAAGCAGCTCGGCCGAAAATCGCTTCAGCTGTTACAAAACGCTTATTATTATCAGAAATATGATGAAGAGTAGTCGCTTCCAATGGCCAAAACTTGGATAATGTTTTTCTTTTATTTTTTTCACTTTTTTGAACACAAAAGACCGGCCTGAATTATTTTGTATTTTATTTTAAATTTTTATTTTATAAGAAATTATAAGCTTCTTGAAACTTTTATAAAATTTTTTGTTTAATATACATTTGTAGCCAAGAAATCAATTTTTGCAACACATTTTTCTATCTCATTCATTTGCAAAATTTATAAATAAAAATCTCTCACATTGACATTAAAGTGATTAATTCATTCAAATTAATTCACTTGTCGCCTGCTGTATTGACACATCAAAAATCAATCATACGGCAATTATAAATCTATAACTACTCAGTAAATATATGTATGACAACAACTGCATGAATTATTCATTATTTAAAAGATGTCTTGTAACCACTTTTGGTAAGTGCCGACACTTGCGCGCACTATGCACCACAAATTTGGCGCATAAAATGATTAATCGCACGTACATATGAAAGTGTGCGCACGCTTCAAATGGATTTATGTATGTATAACATTTCGCACACTCTTTACACACCGCATTTGAAGTCAACTACATATGCATAAATAATGCAGTGTGTCATTAAAAAATTTGTTTTTTAAACACTTAATTGTTCAAATCAGACATATCGGACACCACAAACCTCTAACAAGTTCAAATGCCATTAATCTTTCTTTCTTTATGTAAGTATGTATGTATGTATGTATAAAGACATAAATATTATGCATTTGCATTATTTTGGTAGGATAAAAGTTTCAAAATGCTATCTAGGCGGGTTCTTACACACAAAAATTGCTTTACATTTAGTATATATGTATGTATGTATATTGAGTATGTGTGGAAAACACAAGGCACAAACATTCGTTTCGTATTTGAAGATTGCTCATATTTTTATCGCAATATAATTTATACATTTAAGTACACTTTTTTCATTGGATTATAAATGTTTAGAATATATTTCTATTATGATTATTCTTTCTTATGTAAACTTAAGTACATAATGAGCTGCCAGATATTTGCAATATTTATTTAATTCAAATAACTTGAATATAATGCGTGTATATGTACTATAAAAAATAGTATAATGGAATGGAATTTTCGTTTCATAATGTATGTAAAATATATTTGTATACACTGTAAAAGAGTATGATATCGGCTGCCGCAATGCATAAAGGTTTTTGTCATTAAATTTTTTTAAATTAATTTAAATAAAAAATAAAAAATTTGTTTGCTATATAATGACATTGTCTCTTCGTTTTATAGATAAAAAAATGCAGTGCAAATTGCAGCGAAATTGAATTGCCTATACATGGAAATTATCAATAAATAAATTTTGTTACAAGTTTTGATCGTTTTGATCTTCAAATAATCCAACGCACCGTTTAAAAACTTAAAAATATTTATGCTAAATTTAGTTATTGCCGAATTGAGCACTTACAATTGCGTTGTTATAACTGATTTGCGTAGAATTGTTGGTTCTTTACCTTTTGGCGCTGAAACCACTTCAGATGACACCAGCCAAGGTGAAACCATATCGTTGTTGGATGGTATGTGTGTAATGGAATGATTGTTCGGATGCTGAAAGAAAAGTAATAAATAATTTAAGGTATTAAAAAAAACATAAGCTCTTTTATGCTTTGATTATAGAAGAAAACTAAAAAAAAATAAATAAATTAAAGAAGTTCACAAAAATCCAAAACAAATCGTAAATATTCAATAAAATATAAGTAAATGTTTTATTTTAAAAATTACACAAAATTAAAAAAAAACCCAAAAACAATTAAATTAAAAAATTAAGAATAAAATATGAAAAAGGTATCATTTTAAAAATATTAAAACTATAAAATTTGAAGCATAAAGAAAAATTAAAAAAAAAGCCGAAAAGCTAGACTTTGTAAATATAAATATTAATAAAATTAAAATAATATTATAAAAATTACAACAAATTATAATAGTTAAAAATTTAAAACAGTAAAAAACTAATGCAAAGAAATTGCTAAATTCAAAAACAAGTCAAAAGAAATAGCGAAATTTTTAAAATAAAACTTAAAAAAAATATGCGGAAATTTACGAATTAATAATAAAAAAATAAATAAAAGAAAAAATTACCGATGCAAAATTAAAACAATCAAAACGTAAAAAATAAATTTTAAAAATAAAAAAATTAAAACAACTTACCCTAGCTACTAACACGAAAATTAAAACTTATCACAAGTGTTAAAAATACATTAATTAAAAAATTAAACAAATCAAAAGGTGAAAAATATTAAAAAAAATTTTAAAATAAAAGCAAAAATATATTTAAAAAGTTAAAAAAAAACAAAGTTAGAAAAACACAAAAATTAAACCAAGTTAAAAATTAAAAAATTGAAAAAATATTAAAGCAAATACATTAGCTAATATAATGCATCACAAAATTAAAGGAAGCTTTAAGAAAAACATAAAAGTTAAAACAACCACAAAATTCAATAAAAATAAAACGAGTTCCTTCCACATACCAATTCGTACATTCAAAAATTAATAATAAAATTTTAAATATTAAAACATATTACAATTTTCAGAAATTTCAAAATGTAAAAAAATACAAATGTTAAAAATCGCAAATGGTAAAAACAAATAGCAAAATTTGAAGAATTCAAATGAAGAATTTACGAAGAAAAAATTCAAAATTTCACAAAATTAAAAAACGTGAAATTTAAAAGGTAAAAAATTATATAAATCAAACCACCAGAAGAGTTAAAAATGCATTAATAAAAACAAATCAACAGTTAAAAAAAATGCACAGCTTAAAACGAATTGAAAGTTAGAAAAATATTACAAAATTTAAAAAAAAAAAGCTGGAAATATTAAAAAAAATTACACATCTTAAAAGTTTAAAAAAACTTTACAAAAATTAGAAACAGTCACAAAAGTTAAAAAAGATCACAAAAACTTAATTAAGTAAATCGATTGAAGTTAAGCATAAAAAAATCAAAAATTTAAAATAGTTAGAAATTACAAAAGAATTAAAAAATGAAAAAAAATGTTTTATGAAAATGTAACAGCCAAACAAAAACATATGTTACAAATAAAAGAATTAAAATTAATTACAAAAGTTAAAAATACACAAAAAATAAAATCACTAGTTAAAATGAAAAATTCAAAAACCACAAAAATTAAAACAAATTTAAAACAAATCACAAAACCAGCTAAACAAATTACAAAATTCAAGAAAGTAAAAATGATAAAGCAAAAAACATAATCTGAAGAATCGAAAAATTAAGACAAATTAGAAAAGTTATGATATAAACATAAAAATTAAAAGAAGTCATAATAGTAAAAACACCTGACAAGTTAAAAAGTACAACAATGAAAGGAAATTTAAATATTTAAACAGTAAAAAAAGGAAAAAGCACAGAAATTAAATCAAATCTAAAATTCAAAAAGAGTTTTTGTCTCTTCGAATTTGAGATTTAATTCAATTACTGTGCTTTTTCAAGAATCAAATTCATAAACACAAAAAAAATTATAAATTAATGAAAAATCACAGTTCAAAAAAATTGGAAAACTTGAACAAATTACAAAGGTTAAAAAATTTTCGGAAGGAAAAAAAAAATATTATTAAAAAATTATGAATTTAAGATATCATAAAATTGTTAAACAAAATAAATTTTAACAAATAAGCATATGTCTGTATGTTTCAGCATGCAACAACAACCCCACACCTACACAATAAGACAGTAAACATTCAAACCTTCTTTTCAATATCTTTCTTCGTTATTATATGCGCATCAGTTTCGCAGCGCTCCTGCTCCTTATGCACATCATCATTCGCTTGCAACAGATGCTGCTGCTGACGCTCCTGCTCACGCAACGTGGAGAAAAGTGTTGTACCTGCCGATGGCTTAGACGCCACCGACTTACCACCGCCATCGACGTTGACCAACTCTGTTTCGGTATTCTTACCAACCGCCTTCTTCTCATTCGTTGCACGCACATTATTATTAATTATATTATTTATGAATATTTCATTTATCAAACGCTCAGCTGCCGAAGCATTCGCAGCCGCGGATGCGCTAAACGTATGTGTGGGTGTTGGTGGTGGCGTGCTTATGTTTGTCAAATTTGTTGTCGGTTGTTGGCTAGTAGGTGTTAATAAATCGATGGCCGTTGCTGTAGTGTTACCCTTTCTAATGGTAAATGTTTCATTGGCATTGCTGGCGGGACTCGCTGCTGCCGATGTTGTAGTGAAAACTGTGCTGGTATGTGTGTTATTATTATACGATGATGAGGCGACGATGGGACTTATTGTATTGAATTCAGATATGAAAGTAGCGTTCGAAAATGGTGATATCGTTGTTTTGGAAGCGGAAATCTTTTTCGCTGATGGGGTTGTGGGTGATGACAAACCGGCAGTCGAGTCGTTGCCGTAAGCATTTGAGCCATTCACTTCTATATTACCGTTACCCACCACTGTGGCAACAACGCCACTCGTGGCGGCCGTACTGCTGCTCGTTGGCTTTTGTTCAGTTATGCTCAAAGTTAATTTATCACCGCCCTAAGCACAATGTAACACAAAAAATGATAACACAAAACGTAATTGGTACATAAACACAAAATAAACAAACAAACAAAAAACGAAGAAAAACAAACAGCGTTGAACAAATTAAATTGGTTACGAAATTATGATGTAACGTGAATTAATTATAAATTAAAATATTTTGTTAATTTTTGTGTAAAATCAGTGCTAATAAAGCACATTGTCTCAGAAAATAAACATTTTTATCTTAAATTATTACTCACCACCGAAATATATGTGGCATTCAATGAGTCTGGGCCATCACTACTATAAACGGTGCTGTTGTTGTTCGAATTAATACTGCTGAATATGCTATTGCTGTTGTTGTTATTGTTGTGTTGCACTGTACTGGGCGCGGGTACAAACATTTGATTTGTCATTTTCGCATTTGTGTTGGCATTAGAGAGCACACTGGAGCCAAGTTCCTCCTCGACACGAGCTTGAAAAGGGGAAGAAAATAGCGTGAAAAGGCAGATACATAAAAGCAATTGATTGCAGTAAACTAAAAATTTATAAATATATATAATTGGGAAAAAAAATTAAAAACGTATAAATAAAAAAAAAAAAACTCATTAGAAAAAAACCGTTGTTTTATAAATACAACTACATTAATTAAATTAATTTATATTTTTTTTTTATTTCATCCGGCGATTCCCTACTTACCCTTCAAAATATTGCATTTTATATGCCCCGGTGGTAGTGCGCCACCACCGACATTTGCCAATTTCACCTGATTATTCGGTTTATCTGAGCTTGAAAGTCGTTTCAATGTCTCCGTATTGTGTTCCATGTCAAAAGTTTTGTTGATCGTAACCCTATGCGAGGATTTGGGGAAATTATGAATACAAAATTTAACACAATCCCTACATAGTTGTTACATATAAAGCACATTAATATAAAACGTTGCACTACCTGATACTGTTAGCATCATTAATAGCTTCAGTTGCTAGTATAGATGGGGATGGATCTTTAACAATGGATTTAAGTAATGAATCTAGCTCTTTATCTTTGTCCGATAAGGCGCTTCTAATGCTGTACAACGAGACAGATGTAAAATTAGTATGTATAAACATTTATCTACACAACAAAAAGCAAAATTTTATTAAAATACAATAAATAAAATATTAAAAGCAATACATAGTAAAGGTTTAAAAAACGTAAGTACTATAATAATAAGTAAGTAATAGCAACATTGTAAAGAAATAATGAATGAAAAAGTAAACATCGAGTTAATAGCATATTCTGGTATTTTCCATCAAATGCTTTGAAATCATAAAACTAGTTAACACTTAATAAAAAACATATAGATTAAAAGAGAAATTCATATTGACATTACCTGAAACCGGAACTAATTGAAGCCTTGCCAAAGGAGCCATGATGCGAGGAAGCATTATTTCTAAACGGATTGGTATCGTCCACATTTTTCGTTGCATTTGTTGGATGCAGGCTACTGGTTGCGCTAATAGAGTCTGTATCCAGTCTAAAAAGCATACAAACATTTATATTAGCTCTAGTACAAAAGTCAAAATATTCTCCCTTACTTCACAGTCAAAGCTTCCTTATTGTAACAATCAAGCTTCGTATAACCACCATCTTCACCACTGGAATCCGAACGCATGGAATTGCGTCGTATGCCACCAGCAGCATTGCTACGCGTCGCAGCGGCACTACATGTCGCTGTGTCATTTAGCACCTCCGCATTATATATTACTGTCTGTACAGATGGCGAGGGTGTGACAACATTTGATGCTTGTTGCTCCATTGTCGTTGTATTCGATAGTATCGAGTCAATAGTAGGGTTCGCTGCTTCATTTGCAGCAGCAGCAGCTGCGGCAGCGGCACGTGCATTGACTGCTGCAACAGCTGAGGCGGCAGCCTCTTGGGATGCTTTCTGTCGATCACGTAACAAGTGTGATTGACGGCTAGCGAAACGTTGCGATGGACGTCGTTCGAATTGTACAGTGCGTCGGGCGCGACTTTGCTGTGTTGTTTGAAATTCTGTGCGTCCAGAGTAACGAAATCGTGAGCCCATACGAAAGAAATTCTGACGTGCTGATGGTCCCTTCACAGGCGCACGCAAACGGAAGAATGTGTGATGCTCAACAGCACACTTCCACAAATGCTTGCAAGCTTTCTCATTGTAAAGACGAAATACAAATGTATGCTCTTGTTCGCGGCCCTCATCGTCATCCTCGATAACGATGAGTGTGAGTTTCTTCTTTTTAAAATCTAATTTACTTATTTTCGGCCAGAAGAATAAGCCGATTTTTTGATCACGTTCAAAAACTAAAATTCCTGTTGGAGTTAAGCCCAAATGATACTCGCAACCGTCTTTACCCTGTAAGATATATATTTTAGAATAATAGAAAAAAACTATGTGCAAAAGTATTTACCAAGACCGTGTGCATATCAACGCCATACATATCCAACCATTTAGCTTTATTTAAGTAGGCAGTTTCTGCTTGCGCTGGTGTCAGACCTCTACAGGTTTTATATTCTTCTAATATGGCAATTTCCAGATCTTCCGTTTGTTCGGGAACAAATCGAAATTCCGAAACTGTGACTGCAGTATGCTCTTGTTCATCGAAATCACCAAGCTCGGCTGTAATTAAAAATTTCATTCAATGTGAGGAAAATGTTCAATTCATTATATACTTTACATTGCAATGCGAGCGCGCATAATTCAGCTGATTTATCATCGGGACAATCCAAACGACCTTCTAGCAGATCCTGCTTTAATTGTAAAAAGAAAAGATAACGCGTCAACTCCTCACGCAATGTATTCGGTTCGGATGAGTAAAATTTAACTTTCATACGAAAAGTGTATGGTGGTCCAACTAGAAATATGCGAAGAGTTTGAATAGTTTGGATAGAAATGTTTTAAAAATTAATGACTCACTTTTGACTTGCTTCTTTATGGGCTTTGTAGGATCAAGCCAATGTTTCACATGATTAGCATCAGTAAACTGCAAACCGAAGTAATCCTTTTCGATTACGTCTAAAGCATAGAAGACTTGCTCGTATAAGAAGCTGCCAAGTGCTTTTTTCTGAAAATATTATTTAAAAATTATTAATAATTTTTTTTCATTAATATATTATGCATGTCTAAGCAGATTTTAATTTTCTGTTGAACGAAATAATGCGTGAAATGTACCAAATTAAATTTTTGAAAACTTATCGAATTATTAATTATTTTTTTAGTACTAGCTTAGCACAAATAAATCGTATAACAGACAGAAGTTAGTTAACAACTTAAATAACCTTTAATTCAAGCTATGATACTATGTAAATTTACAAAGCTTAGTGCTGCCAATAACATAATTTGATTAAGGCTATGACAAACTTATATACTTTCTCTCTTACATTCTAAGGTTAGTACTTAACAGCAACCAGTAGGCAGTAAGTATTAAAAATTAACTTTTTTACTTTTTCAACTTACCGACAGTTCAATGGAAAGATCGGTATTGTCAAGCAGCACTACGCGACATTCAATTTTGTTTTTGTTCACTGGCATACGCTGCGCCTTAATCTGTGTCCCACTACTACTGTTCGCATTTGTAACACCCACACCGCCGGCACCTCCGGCAACACCACCCCTGTTTTCCACATAGTTGCTACGCACCTTTCGTCGACTTAAAAATCGCAACATTCCCGCTACAAAATTTCAAACATAAATACGCACGCGTATGCTAAACGACTTGACTCCTTGCTCCAATACGCCTTGTGCTCTACAGCATTTACTCAGCAAATGTCCAACCAATACGGTAGTCGTTATAACTTTTACCAAGTCTGTATCCTAATTCTGTCTTACTTTGGTCTAATATAAAGCAAGAGTTGTAGTAACAACTTTTGGCAAGTTGATGTACGGTTACTGTTCCGCCGCCGCCGCCCCACTATCGTTTTTCTTGTGATAAAACTTGTATGGCGTTGGTACAAACTCACTGATCCTGTTCTCACTGCTTGATGGATATAAGTTTAGATTAAGCTTCGTCTACGATTTCCCCCAATACACAAACACAAATTTTCTAATCTTTTCGGTTTTTTGCCGCTGTTTTGACATTTATGTCACCTCTTAACTTCTGCACAAAATCAGCCACTCCTCATATACAAGAACACGACTGAAAGATTTTTTCTACCAAATGCAATAACAACAAAACTAGTTTCACAGGTTGTTACTTCGTCAAGTGAAGGCCGAAAATAAAACACGCAAATTATTAATAAACACAAACCCAAATTGTTTAAATCATAAGCCCGTGATTCGGAAACAGTTTTGAGTAACTGGATTTACATTATACTTCTTAAATATGTAGCAATTAACGAAATTATTTAAACCGAAAAAGCCAACAACACAGCAAACTAATAGGAAAAAAATCAGAGTTGCAATTCAACTTTTACCAATGCCACCAATGTAATGAAACGACTACAAGTGCTGCCAATACCTCTAAATACTTTCCAATAAGTGGTGAAGGTGAGTGGTGCGATTTTATAACGTACCAGCTCAAGTTATCGAATTATTTTTAATAAATTTTACATAAGGCGCTAGCTAATTTAAGGAAACAATTGTAAAAGTAGCTTCTAAGCTCTCTCAGTTTTATAAAAAAAACATGTAATTTCACTGCCTAGAATCAAATATTCGTAAACAGATACTCTGGTTTTATGAGAAAATATTAAAAAAAAAACTAATAATTAATAAGATGGTATCATATCTTGTATGAAATGAAGTCATTACTTCTGTTTTTTTTTTTTTGGAAAAATGTGCTTTGGGCTCGTAGTAAACCTAGTAAACATAATAACTCGAAAGAATTAACATATGTCGGGTGTAACATGTATGAATATCCATTGACTGCTTGGCTTAATATACTTCTGAATCATATTCTTTCATTGAAGCTTCTTGTGCAGCATAATCACATGCGCTTTCAAATTTATTGTTTTGTAGATGAATTTTTGTTGGGAGATCAAGCTTAAAATATTTCTAGTATTTATTCCTAATAACTTTTATATGATGACTTATTCCCTTCATATTTTTTCTGGGAATAATCAAAAGATTTTAATCCAATATTATTGTGGAACATAAGTGTGAAATAATGGATTTATTTGCTCCCTCGTTGTTCTGTTACTCCCACGCCTGAGCATTTTAACCGGGGGATAACTATCGATAAGTTTTTACCAAATCATATGGGCTCAGCTGATCGATATATATTCGCTGCTGGCAGTACCTCACCGATGGCAATTATTTCCGATGAAGACAAAAGAAAAACACGAAAAACAATTTTTTCTGCGGATTGAAAATATTTCATTATCTACTGCCTTGTGCTTCACAAACTATCTCTTTATATACTCGAGGAATATTTGCTCTTAATAAATAAGGCTTCGTACATACATTAATACAAGAGCAGAGGTGTGTAGGTATTTGCGTCGACGAGAGTACTATTGAAAAAAAAAAAATTGAAAAACACCAATCATGAATTTGGTGGAAAGAAATCCCTACGGGAATGGCTTATTATATATTGGTTTTAATCAGGATCAAGGTAAATATTATTAAATATTGAAGTTAGATATGGCTAATTATTGTCAGGACCTTACACAGGTTGTTTCGTTTGTGCCACAGACACGGGCTTCCGTGTTTACAACTGCGATCCATTAAAGGAAAAAGAACGTCAATATTTTCCAGAAGGTGGTCTATCTCACGTAGAAATGTTGTTTCGTTGTAACTATTTGGCGCTTGTTGGCGGCGGCATAAGGCCACTGTATCCATCAAATAAAGTAATCGTTTGGGATGATTTAAATAAATCGCCAGCTATATCTATAGATTTTAATCAACCTGTTAAAGCTGTACGTTTGCGTCGTGATCGAATTGTTGTAGTATTAGAGGGTGTAATTAAGGTATTTACATTCATGCAACAACCAGAGCAGTTGCATGTGTTTGAGACTAGTGCAAATCCACGTGGATTATGTGTTTTGAGCCCACATAGCAACAAAAGTCTCTTAGCCTTTCCAGCTCGTCGTACTGGTCACGTGCAGATTGTAGATTTGGCAAATACCGAACGCGCCCCAGTGGAAATTGTAGCGCATGAAGCGTCCATTAGTTGCTTGGCATTAAACTTACAAGGCACACGCTTAGCCACGGCAAGCGAAAAGGGGACATTAATACGTGTTTTCGATACAGAAAATGGTAAAAAATTATGCGAACTGAGACGTGGTAGTAATCAGGTAAGAAAGTGCTACATATAAGATAGTTTATGTACTTATATGTATGTATGTATATGTCAATTTGTAATTTTTATTTTCTACCTGCAGGCACATATATATTGTATTAATTTTAACCATCAATCGACAATGCTCGTAGTGTCTTCGGATCATGGTACTATACATGTATTCAATTTGGAAGATAATAAACCAAAAGAATCGGCATTTCCTATGATACCAAAATATTTTTCCAGCCAATGGAGTTTTGTTAAATTCTCAATACCACAAGGTCCGGCATGTATTTGCTCATTCGGATCCGATCCGAACTCTGTAATAGGTAAAAATGAAAAATGTGATATTTTGGTAAACTTGTTTTAACGACTTCTTTCATTACAGCTATATGCGCCGATGGTCACTATTACAAGTTTTTATTCAATAATAAAGGCGAATGCAGTCGTGATATTTGTACACAATTCCTGGAGCTAATAGATGATGAGAAATAAGTGCGTTAATAGAAAGAAAGCTTATCTAACATTTATTTAAACAAACTTTTATTGATTAATTAATGAAAAGTGTTTAAAAGATTTTAATTTGTAGAAAAGTTTATGCAATATATTTGCAAATTAGTATTTAATAATGCTGACTGGTTAAAGTATATGTATTGGAAAGGCATCTGCTGTGGTTGAATAGATGAAATGTTTTTATTCTTTTTTCAAATGTGAGATATACGGTTAAAGCCTCGACAAAAAAATTATACTAAAATTTGATTATAGTGTAAAAACATGTTTATTTTGTTAAACAATAAATTCTATATTTACATCCATAAACATACACATACAAGTGCACATATGCATCTCCATATGTATCGGTCAAACACATTTATTGGCTTTTAAATATACATATATACATACTTACATGTATAGAAGAATACTTATTTTCTTTTTTCTATTATATAATTATTATTTTTATATTTGAATTACCGCTGTTACATTCTAAAAACTCTGTAACGCATGCACTGAAAGCATACTTAGTTAAATAGAAATAAATATACAGAAATTCCATATGATGTAGACCAAAAAGACAGTTTCAATTGAACAGGTTGGGTATTGGAGTATATATTATACATTCTTTGTTGTTTTTCAAAGATAATTTCTGCTACCCTCAGTTGTTGTTGTAACCGGAAAAATATTCCCCCAAAGTACTTTTTGGGGATTGTTGCGGTAGTGACAGTCCTTGGCCGGATAAAAACCCGCGTCGTTTCGTAATAAAGACCCGACTGTCACGGAACTATTGGCTTTTAGTCGCCTTTTACGACAGGCATGCCTTACCACGGGTAAATTCCTGAACCCCTAACCCGCGGGGTGGTTATTCGTTTTGGACGTTAACTCTTTTCATCTACTCCGCCGCTTAATGTTTGGCAAAAGTTGATGCTATGAACTAAAAATGGTCAAAATTTTTAAGGTTTCCCTATTGCGTAGTACCCAGTGGGGCGTTATATCGTTAAATTATTTGTATGTATACACATAAGATTAATAGAAGATGCATAAATATAATTATAGTCACACATACTTATACCCTTATATATGAATAAGTGTTTATTTACGTTCCGCAAAATAGAAAAAAAGGTATTTAGACACTGATAAAAGATAATGCGGTATTGAGAAGTACGCAACCATTTATACATACGTACATGCCCAAGAGTCATGTCAAATAAGTATCCACACAAACTGGTGGCTATAGCAACAACCTTTAAGGAGTCCGCAATGCAACTCCATTATGCGGTACCGTAAATTTATCAACCAATTTCATTAATTGAATTATTATGCCCGCTTAATGAGCAGTGTCTATGCCGGAGTACGAAGCAGCAGACACGCTGATATACAGTTATCTATCTAAGCATGGATGTGTGTATACTCAAATGTCTACAAATAGCAAAGCCTAAAATTAGGCGCTAATGCAGTAGGGAATGTGATTAAAATACCGTTGAATATTAGTTGAAATTATGGCAACGACCATTTTGCATATGAGAGTAGTTGAACGACGGGCAATATTCAATACATATCTATATGTAAATATATACATATATGCGTGTATACTCATCTGTATAGTGTAGTAATTGCTACAAAGTGATCTGATTATATGGTCGTTTAACAGTATTGGCGTTGCTGCTTTGAACACGTGATGACTTGTAGTGGAGTTATATATGCACTTACCAACAACAAGTGTACAGGGGACTTTAAATAATGAGATTTTCACACTCTCTTCAAAAAAATTTTAGTGAGACTTCTCCAGATTTAGAAATGGATGCTGTGGCTGTTGTTGCTACTGCTCGCTCACTCTGCAAAGATATTGCCTTCTATGTCGTTTTCAGTGATCAATAAAGGTATTGCGGAAGTCCCTTGGACATAGTTTTACTTCAAACGTACCAGCAGATACCGTTATGTCTGTATTGTCTTCGTCTCGGTCGCTCTAGTCATTAGTTAAATCAAATGAAATAAAATGAAATGAAAATAATAAAGTATTTTTAAAATAAAATAAAACAAAAGGAAAAATTAAATAAAAATAAAAATTAAATTATATAAATTGTATTAAAATAAAATAAAAGAACATAATTAAATAAAACTAAGAACAAAATTTATCTAAATAAAATGAAATAAAGGCAAATAATAAATATGATTAAAGAAAATAAAACTAAAATTAATAAATAAATAATAAAACACAAAAGTAAAAGGAAAGAATTAAATAAAACTGAAAACAAAATTTATCTAAATAAAATGAAATAAACAAAAAAAAAAGTCAAATAAAAATGATATTAATAAATAAATAATAAAATAAAAAATAAAGAAATTAATTAAATGAAACTAAAAATAAAATTTATCTAAATTATGAAAAAATAAAAATAATAAATAAATAATAAAATAAAACAGAAAAATACTGTAAGATAAAACAAAACAAAACAAAATTAAATAAAATTTTGCAAAATTAATTTAGTTAAAGTAAAAAACAGTAAAATAAACGAAAATAAAAATAAAATTAAATTCAATCAAATGAAAAAAAAAATAAAATAAAAGAAAATATAAATTAAATTACAATAAAAAAAAATAAGATACAAAAATTTAATTTAGCTGAATGAATGAAATAAAAAAATAAAAAAAATTAAAGTAAATAAAACTGAAGTTATATGAACTACATTAAAATAAAATAATATTTTATGAAACATGAATTGAAAAACGAAATTATTAATCAAATAAAAGAAACCGAAAAATAAAGTAGTATAAAATAAATAAACAAAATTTAAATTAAATAAAATGCAATAAAAGAAAATGAAACGAAACTTGATTAAATTAAATAAAGATATATTAAATTTAAATACGTTATATTAAATAAAAAGCTAAAATAAAATTAAATATAAAACGTAAATAATATTAAATTTTATTAAACGAAATAAAATTTAAACTAAAAAATAATAATAAATTGAAAAATAAGCGAAATTGAAAAATAAACGAAAATAATAAATGAAATAAAATAATATAAAATAATAGCATGAAATATATTTAAATAAAAAAGTGAAATAAAATTAAATAAAACACATTGAAAACAAATGAAATAAAAAAACAAGCTAATTAAAGGAAATAAAATCAAATAATATAAAGTGAAATAAAATGAAATTAAATTTAATTACAATAAATTAAATAAAAAAGTAAGATAAAACATCATCAAACTAAATAAATTGAAAATAAAATAAAGATAAAAAAATAAGCAGATTAAGAAAATTAAATTAAATTAGAACAAAATATTGTTAATTTTTATAAATTTTATTTAAAAAAAAATTGAAATAATAAAAAAATAAACTAAAAAAATAATAAAATAAATTAAACCAAAATAAATTTATTTATTTAAAAAATACTAAAAAATTAAATTAAACATATTAAAGGAAATGAGATTAAATTAAATATAAAATAATAAAAAAATAAACTTAAAAACAATAAAATAAAATAAACGAATTAAGGAAATTAAATTAAATTAGAACAAAATATTGTTTGATTTTATAAATTTTATTTTTTATAAAATAAAATGTAAATAATAAAAAAATAAACTAAAAAATTAATAAAATAAATTAAACAAAAATAAATTAATTTATTTAGAAAAATACTAAAAAATTAAAAAAATAAACTTAAAAACAATAAAATAAAATAAACGAAAATAAATAAAACTATTACAAAAGAAAAATTAAAAAAAAAATCAAAAAAAATAAAGAAATAAAATTTCAATAAATTAAATGAAATTCAATAAAATAAAAAAATAAAATTAAACTACGCAGGCTTTTCATAACTATTACTAATCTACTGGAATGTCTCATCGCTAGGAAGGGCCACATAAGGATTGGTTTAATTTTTTAACTTTATTTTTTAATATCTTACGCAGCGTTGACACTCCTACTTGATTACTTGGTGTAATACTTACGCAGGAGAATTGAAGGTCGAAGATTTTATTACTAACTTGAGTAAAATCGGAAAATATGTGTAAGTAAATTATTTACGAAATTCTTAGAAAACGTATTGCCGCTTTTACAGCCATTGTTGTAATGAAAATCATTTCTTAATCACTGAAAATGACTAATAAAAAAGTACGCAAGAAATCTGCAAGAAAATAAAGTCATCTAATTCCATAGCATGCTGCACGTGAATGCAAAAGACTACAAAAAAAAAAAAAAAATAAATGAAACTAACAAACAGAGAGTGATCTTCGCCAGATGCAACTTAGTTTCGTCCGCTTTTATGAGCTCTCTTCCGTTGACTCATAGCGTGTGGCTGTCGAAAAGAGGCAATGGAAATTTATCGAGGAGAGCAATGAACAATTTTTCAAAAGATAAAACAAGAACACCTCGAAAAGATAACAACAAACGAACATCAAGTAAATAAATTCACGGGCACATCATAAAATAAAATAAAGTAAAGTAAATAAAACAAAACAGAATTAGTGAACTGCTCCGCTCGACATAGATGAGAACATTTGTTAAAGCTTAACGCTTTCGGACAGCTAATTGGAAACTCGATCACCGGCATTTGCAGCAGTTTTCGGTGGGCCCCCAAAGTGAGCGGTTGAATTTGTGAAGTGTTCGAAAACCAATTTTAAAAATTAGTAAACAATTTTCTTTGAAGACTTTTTATTTAGTAAATATTTTGTTTTTAACAACAAAATAAGCATATAAAGTCTTTAAGAACTTTGAAAATTACTTTGTATTTTAACTGTAAAATAATAAAACTAATTTACAATTGACACAGACATTACCATTGTGCTAAATAAAGGTAACTAAAAAAAATTATACACTGTAATAAAAAAAGATAAGTTGAATTATTTGCACTCCAGAAATTTTATAGAATATATGTATATGTAGATAAAATGTAGTTTTTCTTTCCTTAACGTCGGCGCGTCATTGGCATACAAACAAATTGTTAAATAAGCTATGCTTGAGTGAACAAATTAAAAAAAAAAAATATGCTTGCTGACTTTAAAGCCGGCATCTAAGTGAGGCATATCACGTACGTCATCCAATTTTATTTGCTCTTTAGTGCTGGCATTATTATTTCTACGTTAACCCGTTTTTAGGCTCTCAAAGTCATTCACTAATTATTACAAGTGACTCACTATATGTACATATATAATACACGTTCGAGTATGTGCATAAAATGTAATGTTATTTAAAATTAGCCAACTTAATGACAGAGCTTTTGGTTATAATAATAATAACAGTTAAATAATATAAAATAAGATAAAATCAAAATAGAAAAAAAAATAAATAAAATAATAAAAAATAAAATGAAATGAAATAGATAAAGCATAAAAAAATAAATTAAACAAAAAAATTAAAAGAAAAAAATTAAAACATAAAAAAAATAAAATTATATACATATTATATATCCCATTATAAATATAGTAAGTAAAATAGGACTAGATAAAATATAATTACATAAAAAAAATAAATTTAAGAAACAAAAAAATAAATAATATAAAGTAAAATAAAATAAAATAAAATAAAATAAAATAAAATAAAATAATATAAAATAAAATAAAATAAAATAAAATAAAATAAAATAAANTTTGATACACAGAATTCTTAAGACCAATATGTAAAGTTTGGTTGAGATATTCAAGAGCATAGAAAGCCCTTTGGCGAATTTAGATTTTTGAAACGAATTAATACAATTTCCAGAACCATTTAGATTTATGAGAGTTTTCTGTGGCAATTAGGATATCCCCTATAATTTGGGTACATTTAGCGACAGATAACAAAAAGAAGAACCAGAAACTTCAAAATACCTTTGATTTGGCATTATGTGTATCCTTTTCTAAATTTTGATTCCGCTCGCTGGGACATAATTCATTCCAAGGTAAGGCACCAGCCGAGTTAGCACTAAACCAATGCCCATTTACAGTACAGGATAGAACAGTCACTCAATCTACGTCACCGGAACACACCCTCAAAAATTCGGCGACAGACTGCATGAATATCTTACTTTGTAAGAAGGTGTGTGCGGAGATATGCCCATGTTTGGGATGGCCTCAACAACTAATTACTCATTTGATTAGATATAATACGTAAGCAGGTTTATAAGATAATAATCGAAAATATTTTCGAAAATAATCAATCCAATATTCAATCAAAAGTGCTTTAATGCGTTAAAAAATTATCAACTATATGCAAGTTATAGATCACACAAAATCTTATCGTGATTTGTTATCGTTTGTTATCAGCACTTTTTACCGCCTGCCAATACGTATACTCGTATGACGTTTATTTCGAATTTATTAAATTCTGTGTTCTTTTCCTTCAAATTTTGTTGTGGCAAATCAGAAACGTTCACAACAACTTCCTCAAGATTTTGGATTAATAGAAGCTTTTTTTTTTAATTATTACTTACTACTAGTAGGCACAGCCATACATTGTTGTGATTTTCTTTACTTTGTAGAATTTTCATTCTAATGGGTATTGCAAGGAATGATGGAAGAACCCTCATTAAGAGTACTATCTGATTAAAAATATAACTTTTTTTTTATTATTCTATCGAACTAACTACTGAGTTGGTCGCTGGTCAAAGTCTTTCACGAAAATGTCTATATGAATGCCTCGAGGTAAGCCAAATTCGAAAAAATTCTTTTCAATGCCTATTCACATTCAAGTTGAACGTATCAGACTAGCTTGCAACTCGCAGTCATAGAATAGTACTAATGCGAAGTGACACGATCTATGCTTACGAGTATGTCCAAAACATACTAATTTTTGCCGAACTATCGGCGATACCTTTTCTCGTAAAGAAAGTATTATTTATATTTCGAGCAAGTCCAACTTGGTTCCAGCTCTCTGGTACATTTCCTGTAAGCAAGAGTAATCCCTTTAGTCGTATCATCCAAAATAGTATCCAAATCTAGCTATGAATTCGTATATTATTTAAAGTGATTGATCTTCCCGTAAAAAAAGACATAAAAAAAGAATTTCCAAAATCAAACATAAATATAATCTTTTTAAATAGGTCAGTCTCTGATCCAGATTCCGAAAAGCAAACTAGTCCTCCTGATGATCTAAACAAAGAACTGAATTTCAAGTAAATCAAATCATAATTACAAGTTTCTCGAAGAGGTCAGTATCTGGCCTATTTATCGTGAAATATAGTAATGTTCTTACTAATCTGAGTAAAAATCCACCAATTTACTATATTTCCAGTCAATCTAACTACGATTTTTTTTGAAGAGTTTAGACCCTAGTCCACTTGCCGGAGGGAAAAATAGTTATTCTGCTAATCTAAACAAAGAGTTACCTGGGTTACGAATTCCTAGTAACTCGAACCATAAATACAATTTTTTCGAACAGGTCAGTCCCTGGTCCACTTGCTGGAAAAAATCTTCTCATACAAACCCTTTCAGGAACCTTGGAAACAAGCTGAGGTAGAAACTGTCAGTATATTCTGCGGGGTAGTTTCGGGGATCACTGGAAATAAACATAAAAAGCATTGTTTTTGTAAAGACTTTAAGATATTATTATTTTTTTTATATTATTAATTTTCTAGGCGGATATAAAATTAAATTTTTTTCAATTAAATTTCATTTCTTCTATTCAACATTCTTAATTTTTTTAACTTTTTTTTGTTATGAAATACATTTTCAAATATATTTCGAATAACCAGTAAGTTTTAAATTTTTTTTTCCAAAAATTAATTTGAGAATTAACCCATAAGTCAGTCAGAAATATATTCGCTGAAAATTTTTTTTCTACATACAAACAAGCAGTTTTTCTGTATTAAAAGTGAGCCATTGCCAAGTACATTATGAGTGCATGTTTTAAATCACTATTATGTACGTATGTATGTATAAATTATTTTTTCCAATAGACAAGTTTCGAAGCCATTTTAGGAGTTTTTGCTATTCATCAAACAAGTTGTCTCCATTTTCGTCAATTGCTTCGCTTACACTAGTTTTGTATGTAGTATAGCGTTTAAAAATATATTATTTACTCGAAGCACTTGTTCATGCTTTCATCTAAAACAGGTGTCTTCTGGCTATTGCACTGACAGTTTCTCCTTTTTTATTGGCATTGGCATCATTTAGGCTCCAATTGAAGTCAAGACCTCTTCCAGCAGGTCTTACCAGCGGAGTGATAGACGAAATTTTCCTTTGAATTTCCTTCACAGTTTAAATGTTGCACCGTCAAGAGAGACTCTATATTGGAGTTCAAGGCTTAGCGTAAAAACTCAGCTGCAAACTGTTTGTTTGATATTAAGTGATATTTCGTAGAGACCTCATCACAACCAAAGCTATTCGCTTCCTTCTGATGCCCAGTTTTATGGGAGTTGACCTATAATTGGTGCTTTGTAACTGCTGAAGTAGTTTTCCGCCGAGCTCTTCCGCCAATATGTGTTCTTGACGTTTTTCCAATAAATGGAGGGACCTGTAGTTTATTCTAAGTCGCCTCCGAATAGTCGATGGACTTTTATGAGGAGCTTCGATTTATTATCAGAAACCTACTTGGAGAACTTGACAGTATTAACACTAATAACAATGTCAGCCTGGAAATCCAACGCAGAATCACTCTTGCCAACAGGCGTTTCTTTGGACTGAGCAGGCGATTGAAAAAGAAAGTCCTCTCTCGGCGAACGAAAACCAAACTCTACGAGTCGCTCATCGTACCCGTTCTAAAATATGGCGTAGAGGCGTGGACGATGTCAATATCTAATGAGTGACAATGGAATGATAAGCTGTACGACCTGAGCGATGATATTGACATAGCTCAGCGAATGAAGAGACAGCGACTACGCTGGTTACGTCATGTTGTCCGAATTCATAAAAGCACTGCAGCTTTGAAAGTATTCGATGGAGTACCCGCTGGTGGAAGTTGATGAAGAGAAAGACCTCCCCTACGTTGGAAGGATCAGCTGGAGAGCGACTGGCTGCACTTGGTATTTCCAACTTGCGCCAAACAGCGAAAAGATGAAATGAATGCCGCGCTAATATTGATTCGGCTATAACCGCGTAAGCGGTGCCAACACCAATAAAGAAGAAGAACTATCTACAATTTTGGGTGTCGGCAGAGCCAGAACTCGAACCCTGGCCTTCCGAGTAGCAGTACGCAATGCTAACTACTCGTCTATTGGCTTGTAGTCAAACGCAGTTCATCTATTTATGATGGCAAACTTGAACATAACAGATGATAGTCAGCAAAAGTAAAATTCATTGATGTATTGCTAGTATCAAACTATTCTTGAGTATGGACGGCTTTTAAGATAACCGTTTTCTTGTCCCTAATACTATAATTGGAGCAGACTGTAGGTTAATAATCTCTATAATCATAGAGTTAATGCAACTGGAACCAGACACCGCCTTTTTCGAAAAATTAACTATTTATGGTTCGACTTACTTGAAATTTGGTACAGACGTAGGAAATTGTTTGCTTAGATTAATATGTAGACTAATTTTGCTTTCCCGATGTGGGCCCAGAACCGATCTGTTCGGATTACCTGGAAATGTTTTTTCTCTAGAAGCAGATAACGATATTTTTGAAAAAAATTGACTTTTGGTTTGGTTTATGTAAAAATTTAGACGAAGGCTAACATATGGTATACAGAGGGAAAGCCCTCTTTCCAGAAAAAGACCAAGTTCTACGTTTGATTTGCGTAGATCAAATGTTCTTCTAAACATATACAAAGTAGGAAAAAGACACAGATGACGGGTCCGGTGGTCCACATATAAAGTTTCAAGACCATAACTTTTTTAAAATTTTGGCTCCTAAAGCACGGCACAGCCTTGGTTAAGATGATTACAAATAAAATATTTTTGTTCTGTCCTGTGTTTGAGTTATTGTACAAATTCTACGACTCGAGGGAAAGCTTGCACTTTCATGTAATTTATGAGCGCTTTTAAAAGCTTCTAATGAAATTGTCACAATAAATTACCAAACATCTGTTTTTGGGCTCTCCTTTGAGGTGATCATAATTCTTAGAACTCTTATTCAAATTCCAAAAATATTTTTAGTGTTGTAGTCAAATTAATTTTTGTAAAAAAAGCCACTGACAAAAATTATTTTACTGTTGATAAACATTAATAACTTTTTTAATTTATTGGAGAAAACGAATTTCTTACATTCGTTCAGTTCACCACTGATTTGGGTGTACGAGTATAATTATGAAAATTAAAACAAAAAAAAAAAAAACTATTTTGCTTGCATCAAGTAAACAAACAAACAGACAATGGAAAACATACAATTTAAAATCTATTTTGAGCACCAGGTTTTCCAGCTTTCGACTGGTGATGGCTAGCGGCTAGTGAATCAGTGAATCAGTGAATTTGTTTATGCGAGCGGCAGAAGATCGCCGCAGCTCATTAAATTTTCAACAGCACACAGTCAGTCGTACATACACATACACATACACATAAGGATGTTTATGAAAATCTGGTTCGGCGGTGAAAAGTCATTGATGTTATTGACAAAAGCCCAGGAAAAGCCATAATATATTCATTCGCTCCCATATACTGCACACATTTGTTTGTATGTATTTTTCTTATTTTTAGCTGCAAGCGAAAAAACGTTTATTTTAACCATAAAATTGAAAACATATGGTGCAAACAGTGCGCTACATAAAACGAAAAAGCACAAGAAATATCGAGAGGTGGAAAATCGCCGCGAGCCGGCAGGCACGTAAACAAAGAAAATACAACTGCGAGCGCAAATTACTGAAAAGATTGAAATAAAATTTTAAATGCCGTTAAATAAATGCAACGAGGATCCAATAGACGTGAAATCTGTGAAAAATCGGCATGCCATGTGGGAAATATTGAGAGAATGACTGCAGTTTAAATGACTGTAGGCAATTCAAAAATGCGCCTGTGATAGGCTTGGTATGTATGTAGGCACAATCAGCGCGTATGAGTGAGATGAACCCATGAGAGCTTGGCGTTCATCGCAAAACAGAACACATATTTGTACATATACTTGACGCTATGTAACCGCTGATGCGATTTTTGTCTGAGTACATCCTCCATCTTGATGTTTTATGAAGAATTGGAGGGACCTAGAAGTTATTCAAAGCCACCTCCGAACGACCATTAAATTTGTATGAGGAGCTTTTATTCAGAAATACACTCGGAAGGCCTGACTTCTCCAACCGAGTGTCGATCGTAATTAAAAAAATTAATTTTCCACAATTTTGGATATTAGTCGAACGAGTTCGAACCTTGACTATTTGAAATCTTGTACCCAATAATTACGTAAACCACCCGGCTACATAACGTATATTTCTTTTATAACAAAATCTGTTGGCGCAACCTCTTCACGGTATGGAACACTGGAATAGCTTAAGTCCAAATGAACTGCTCGATTTATGTAGGTAGGGAGTAGTGGTTTTAGATGTGGTAGTATACATACACCTAATACACTTAGACTTATTGATACCACAATGCTGATCCCATCATTAGGTTACGCTGTCTATTCGCAACGATTTTCTTACAATTTTATAAAATAATTACCATGATGTTTGTGTATTAAATCATCTGCAAAACTTCAAAGAAAGTAGCTCCCAAATATTGCAACCTAGCTGATGAGAGATCGTTGTTTCCTCCATAAAGTTTTTCCATAAAGTTTTTTCGAGCTTATTTGTACGTGGTGCGACTGAAAGAGAGCTCTAAAGGTTAGGTTTCTTGAGAAGGCACCACCATCAAAACTTCTATAGAGCTTCCATAGATGCGTATTTAACTCAATATTGTCGCCTGTGGTACCGAAGTTATCATTCCACTTTCCGCTTTTCCCGAGATTTGCATGTAACCAGAGTTGAAAAGTAGTTTTGTGCTTTCCAAATCGTTGATCGTTGGGTTGAATCTCTCATGTTACGGGTAGTTCTGGTAAAAGCATGCTTTTAAGCATTACATTTAAGCCCTAGTCTGGCATAGTTTTGAGTGCAACATTTCTACTGATCAAGGCGTATCTTTGCATGAGGCTAATGTTTGCTGCCATATTTATCGTTTAGTGACAAATCACCGACAGAAGTGTTTATGCTTTGATCGGCTAAAATAGTATCAGGGCTGTTAAAAGTTCCGTTTGACCTCTATAACTGACGATGGATTGAGTGATCTTCCTGCACTAGTAAACTCAGCGTTCGGCTGCGTTTGGCATGAATAATTTTAAGATCAGGTGCATCTAACAAATTTTCAAAAAATAAATTTTATTCTCCTGTAAACTGCGGACGTTTCTTCTACTGGGTCACAATTTCATTCAGGACCTTTTGAATTTATCAACATGAACATGAACAGCATTTCACTCCTAAAATGTCTCTCTATGGTCGGTATTACAACCAAAAATATTTATTTGTTATTTATAAAATTTATGAAGTGAGGTTAATAGAAATTGAAAGTGAGGTAAGAAAAATTAAAAGTCTGATTTCTTTTTTGTGAAAAGGTTTCATTGTAGTTACCTCCAATGTGTTACAGAATGAGAAACCGTTTTGATTTTTGCTTTTAGATGATTCGTTTCACAGTTATTGTGTCACTCATCAACAACAAAGGGACGAGTTTCAGCAGCAATTTAGGAGCCGCCATTGAAAAAAAATCAATTAATATTTTGGTACTTCTATTTATGCACAAATACTTTGAATTATACATTTTTTTTTCAAATATATATAAATAACTAAAATTTGATTAAAAAAACACGTTCTTGGAGGAACCTGGCCTTAATATCTCTGTTCTGCTTCTGTGTATTAAAATTTGTCATCTTCTCCGAATGCTTATCAATCCTAAAGTGATTTAAAAATTAGTATTTTTCACTTTGTCCTTGAGAATTTTTCAAATTAGATTTTTTAATTATAATTTGTGTCACATTAGTGATTTTCAATTTGACGAGCTCGGTGCATGTCAGGAACGCAATTTCCCTTTGAACTAGCCTAGCAGCCGCAAGACAGTTCCCCATAACACAGTGTTATTATAATATAAATACCATTTCTAAACAATTATTTACTATTTATAATGTATGTATGTATAAATAAATTTTTTCATTAATTTTTAATTTAAAATTTTCCATATACCTGTAAATATGTGAACTGATTTTCTACTTTCTATAAGCCAAATCATACACCTAAAATGCAAATATACCACAGACTGTTATTTTCCTAAAAAAATATTTAAAAGTAGTGCAAAGTAAATAAAAGCAGCGAACAGATGCTGAAATACCAAAAAGTCCTTGCATTCGTGTATACCACACATACACCCACACACACATGCAAGAACGCATTACTCTTTCATTAACTAGACAATTGGCACCTGATATGCGAAAAGCCTCATGGCATAATTTGGCACGAATTTGCAAAAAAAAATAAAAATAAAAAAGGGCAATAAAGTCATAAATTGTATATACATACATACACACACGTAAACTGCCTATTTATGAAAACTTTACATACATATGCATGTACGTATAACTGTTTTTATTAGCCACAGGCGACAGCTGACGATGATTTCAGCGAGTCTCAGCGAGGCGTGTGTTCGCGTCCGCTCCCATATCACAAGGAAAATCGATAAATGTCAAAATTTCACTTTCATATACAACATCCACACACACAAACACATATATATGCATATATAGTATATGCACTGAGTATTTCAGTTGGTTAATAGTGGCAGCTGCCATTCGTTGTCGTCAGTCTGTTCATTTGGACACGCTTAAAAAAAAAATTAAGCAAAAAAATAAAACAAATAAAAAAAGTCAACGCTCAGCCATTTGTGAGTTTAAAGCCAATTAAATTTGCAAAATTTAATGAGCACATATGCACATAAACTGTTTACATTTCAAAGTAAATAAATTTAAGTATTTTCCGATAATTAACTTTAATATTTTAAGCGTTAATATACTCAAATTTTATTGCGCGTAGATAAATTTATATTTTTTGATTATTCATACTTTAAATTTTTCTTTTTTTTTTTTAGTTATTGAACGATTGACGTTAGGCCGTTAAAAAGCGCTAAGTGAGAAAACAAAAAAACAAACAGCAGACAGCTGTTCGTGTGCAACTGAAAACAATAACAATAACAACGATGGAACCAGTCATAAATCAAGCTTTCGTTAATGCAGGTCAGAAGCCTGGCGTGGAAATCTGGCGAATTGAAGTGAGTAGATAAAATTATTAGATGAGTTGTAATAGTATAATAAATAATAATAGAAAACAAACTAAAAATAATTTATTGAATATGATTTTGGAAAACTAAGAAAATTTATAAAAAATTAAATAAAAGAAAATTTCTTAAACAAGAAGTGAAGAAATTAAAAAAGGCAAAAAATATTAAAAAAATTGCGCATGAAATAAAGTGAATAAAAAATAAAATCTTACGAAATTTCGAAAAAAAAATTCATTAAGGCAAAAAACTAAATTATTGTGTTAAAATATGTGTTATAAGTAAAACTACATGAAGAAATTAAAAAAAAAAAAACAAAAAAATTTGGCCTTAAAAATTCAAAGTTCAAAATTAAAAGTATATTTTATAACTTATTTTTCAAATGCTTATAAGTTTAGAATTTTTTTGGAAATTAATTAACAAATTAAAAAAGAAACAAAAATACTAAAAATAATGTGTGAATCTAAAAAAAATAAATTGAAAAATGTCTTTAAAAGTAGATTTTATAGAAATAAATTGCAGTTAAAAATATTCCATTAACTTGACATTATATCCCTATTGCGGCAATTGATTTTTACATGCTTCTTTTGACGCCAAATCTCAACCATAGACAAGATGCGGGTGCCAATACGGACTATAAAGCAGATGCGTAAGAACCTTCCAGGCAAGTTCTCGGAGCTGCCGGCGAGGCACTATCGATGTGTGTGGTCTGATGTGCGCAACTTTAGGCCAAAGTTGGATACTTCTGGGCGATTGCTTTCTTAAGACAAATATGCTGATGAAGTAGCTCGTAGTGGGGATTATTCCTTGTCAATCCCACCAAACACTCAATAAAACATTCATGGTCATGATCACTGCCCTCCGATCTCGACAGTTTTCGTCTAACATTGCTGTAAGTGAAACATTTTTCATCACCAATCATCATTCGCTTCAGAAATGGGTGGACTTTGCTTACGATTCAGCAGCGATTCGCTCGTTACCTCATGCGGCAACAATAAATTGAGCTTTTTTGTATATCTAGGCCTTTTTAAGTGGCTCCAATTGTAGAAATTGTCCATTTTTGGCTTGTGCGTAATACCACTGAGTTAAGTTTTGTACTAAAAAAGACGAAATATCTCCTGTCATTGAACAAACAGTCGGCTCATTTACGGCCTGGTACCCACGCCACTGTCGACCGTTCTAACTTCGAGGTCGTAGAAAATTTCGTAATCGAAAGTAATCGCTGCAGTACCCGTCGATGGAAGCAGAGGAGGAGGAAAGCTGTCCGTTGGAGGAATCAGGTGGAAAGCGACCTGGTTTCACTTGATATATCCAACTGGCGCCAAACAGTGAAGAGGAGATCCGAATGGCGCGGTATGGTTGATTCGGCTACAATCTCGTAAGCGGTGCCCACACTAATGAAGAAGAAAGAGTATTTTGAATTTTTGGCCTTGGTTCGACCCATATCTCTAAACATGGAACAACACACTGCTAAATACTCAGCTAATGCGGCTTGCAAAAAAGTGACTCTCTCTTTGATAGGGTTTCTTTGAGTAAATTTAATGTGTGGCCAAAAAAAAAAAAAAAATAAAAACTAGGCCACCTTTGTAGGTTAGGCATTGTACAATAGCAAATAGCTTCTCTTCAGTCGAACTTTTAAAACTTTAGCGCACGTTTAAAACTTTAATCGTTTGTCAAGTGGCATATTTACCACCAACGAAAGCGCTAAAGCTGAAGTAAGCTTCGACTAATTCTAATTCAACTACTTATGTAAAAGTGGTTTTACATACATAGGGCGGACAAGTACGGTGAGAGGATGTGCAGTAAGCACTTTAAAATCTGAGTATTATTTTCCAATTGACTGCTGCTTCTATTGCCGCTGAAGTTGTATACATACAAATAGGTATGCCTGCTGTATGTACTTATGAACTCTGTTGAGTAGGCGGTCATGGCGTAGGAATTTACAGCCTCATTCGCTTGCTGCATTAAGCTGTGGTCATCAACGTCATGTCGTAACACCCAAACAGCCGTTTTGTCCAACCAAATTCGTTAGCGAGGATAAGTGTGCTTATGCGCTTTTATGGGTGGGGGAGGGTTAGTGAGTGTAGTCAGCATGGGTGGAATGCATACTCAAGGAACAATAGAGTGCACATATTGAATTCGAACAAAAATGTGAACCGACGGCACATATTTTTGCTAAATGGGTCCCACGAAAAGCAAGACTGCCCGAAAATAGCATATTCTTCAGCGGCTATTTATTGTTGGATACAAGTATATGAAAGATTATACTTCAAAGACATTTTAACCTTCGGAAAAGGAGTTGTTTTAAATATAATTGGTGAATTTTTTAGTAAAACTTACTTCTGCTAGTCTCGTTTTCCATGGGACACACCTTGTAACTACACTGTATATGTTTGTTTTTATTTTTATGTGTGTTGGAAAAACAAACAAATACCCTTGCTGAATGAATGCTATTTATATAAAAGAAATAACATTTTTAATAAAAAAAAACTCCAATCCTTTCGACCGTTGAAGGGGATTAAATTCAGTTGGTAAGGCAGAGTTCGAGAGAAAGAGTCTCGTTTTTGTTCCAATAGTATTTTATGCACGCTCATGTTGTAACGGCATTGAAAAGTGCACGAGAATGTGCATTCATACACGTACATATATGTTTATACATACAAGTGTGTATGTCATTCCACATTCATGTAAATACTATCAGAGCTGACCATAAATGACCGTGAGTATGTGACAGCAGTTAACTGTAGAGTTTGAGTTGACCACATGACAGGCCGATCATTCGGCAGCGACATCAACACCAGCAGTAGTAGTGTCCGTTAGCCGCAACGGCTGATTCAACAAATCCGTTGTAACGCCTGTGTTTGCTCCGTGCATCCCTGCACGCCAGTGATGCCTGTGATTATGGCCACATATCAGGAGTATTTGAATGACATATATATGTATATATTATATATCATATAATATAACTTACTTGCATGCCAGGATGCGAAAATCTTTTGACCTTTTTGGGGGTGTATATATTAGGTCAAGTAAAAAGTTCGTTCGGTTCTTATCTAAGAGATGGCGTTATTGTCCATAGTACTAGCGTTACGTGTTATTCGCGCAAAAAATTTGTCTTTGACTGTTTTTCGATTGATTGAACCAGTACGTTGTGAGTCCCGCATCAAAGATGGACAACAGCAACGAGAAAATTCGCAAAATTTTATAATTTTTCTTCGATCAAGGCGAAAAAGCAGCCAAAGCGGCTGAAAAAATTAATTTGGTTTATGGGCCGGATACTATAAACGAACGCGTAGCACAAAAGGGGTTTGCTAGGTTTCGTTCCGGTAATTTCGATGTCAAATATGCACCAGGTTTTGTTGTGTGTTTGGTGAGATTGGCAACGAATCATCTACTACGAGCTGCTCTTCTATGACCAAAAGCTCAATTCGGCTCTCTACTGCGAGCAAATGGACCGCTTGAAGGCAGCACTCATCCAGAAGAGGCCATCTTTGACCAACACAGGTCGAATTGTGTTCCTCCAGGACAACGCCAGGCCACACACTTTTTTGGTGACGCACCAGAAGCTCCCGGAGCTCGAATGGTAGGTCCCTATGCACCCACCTTATTGTCCGGACCTGACACCAAGTTATTACCATCTTTTCCGGTCCATGGCGAGCGCGCTTAATGGTGAGAAGTTGGCCTCAAGAGAGGCCTGTAAAAAGTTGTTCTCCGAGTTTTTTGCTAATAGGGACGCAGCCTTCTACGAGAGGAGTATAATGAAGTTGGCATCACGTTGACAACAAGTTTACGAACACAACGGCACATGAGTTTAAATGGGACAAATGTACACTAAGTTATCAAATTTTGAAAAATCAATAAAAAAACCGAACGAACTTTTTACTTGACTTAATATCACCATACTTGAAAATGTTCAAGTTCTTAATCTAAATACATATGTATGTTTTCTAAAAAATATACTTAACTGGGCTCAGTGTCAAAATATTTTATTAAAACTCTTTTCTTGCTTGATGGTGAGCAGAGCTTTACAAAATGGGGTTAATCTGAATTTGTGTCAATGCTTGTGACTTTAAAAATAGGCTCAGATCTGTCAGTAGCCAAGACCGCTCTATCCTTATTTTGAGCCTTCTTTTCTTCGAACACTAGCAGACGGTTGAAACGTTACTTAAACGTAGCCCTTGAATAGTCGTTTTGTATGAAAATTATACAATTATAGTAATAAGTAAAACCAGAGAAATTCTAGAAAAAGTAAAAGAAGCCTCTTCGAAATACAAAAGTTTCCTTGTTCTTGGTGTTAATCGCTTCTGGACTTGATGAGGCAAAAGACAAGTGGACGTGATGTAGAAGAATTTTTCAGAGAGATGCTGCTCATTGTAATGGACCTAATTCATATCGGTCGAAAGAGAAATTAGGAGGTGATGCATTTGGTTCTTACTGATTGATGGGTTTAAATGAAGCTGGTGATGAGCGATTTCTATGAGTATATTGCTTTTATTCATTTAGGAAGAAAACAAAATAGCTCGTGAAAACCTGGTAAGTAAGTGAAGTAGTAGTAGTTTTTGGAGATATCGACGTACTTAGGCCATAGCTGGCCCATTGTGATACCATATAATTGCTAACATCTTATCGCTCCTTTCCCTTAGCTATATTTATTACTTGGTTACTTTATAAGCGTCAACAGCTCGGTTCTGTTGTGATCCACAAAATTTACCTGGAATACCTTGGAACTGCTTTAGATTTCTTGCTCTTCTGATATAGACTTCAGTTACGCGAGAGCTTTCACTATCTATCTCTCTCTCATCTCTTTGAAATTGAATTGAATGTTGTTGCTCTCAAGATATTATCAGCTTTAAATGGTCAGAATGTTGTTATGATTTGAAATCATGACTGAAGTGCGCTGGATTTTGCCAGGGACCTCATAAAGAGACGGATACTCCGAAGTGGTGCTTTTGATTGGTCTTCATCAGCAGGATGTACCAAAGCGCAAGTGAAAT